CTACTACTACTGCTGCTGCGACTGCTACTGCTACTACTACTACTACGACGACGGCTACTACTATGCTGCTACTACTGCTAGCAAAAGAAATTCATCTTTGTATTAACAAGAATATCAGAAACAATAACTCTAAACGCTAGTCACGTACAACCGACTTAAATCAGACCTAACCTAGCGAACTAATCTGAACTAACTAATCAACTGCATGTGAATTCACTGGTATGTCATCTAACACCCTGCCAAGCGCTCAGCAATGCAGGAGGCAACAGCAGTAACTAACTAAATAAATAGGTAAACACATGAACCCGTTACGTACTAACAGGCCCACATCAAGGGAACCGACTAACTAACGAACTGATTGACTGAGTGATTATCTGACGAAGTAATGCCCTGACTAACTAGCTAGATAACCAAACTGTCTCCTAACAACTTGGTACGATCCATTTGCTATCACCGACTATCTGTTTCTAACATACCTAACTCACGGACTGAAGAACGAACTAACTAAACTAACCAGCGCACTAACTAAATACCCAATCAGCCAACTAACCAACATGCGAAATAACGCCTCACTCAGCTAGCTAGCTAGCTAGCTAGCTAGCGAACTAACTAGCTAGCTAGCTAGCTAGCTAGCTAACTACGAACTAACTGCCTAACGAACAAAAAAGCTAACTAACTATCTAGCTAGCTCTGCCACTAACTCACCATTTCACTGACTACGGCTGCGAGTTACTTCCGCTAGTTCCACGACGACTGCGACGACTGCTGCTGTCGCTATTGCCATTTACGCGAAGGTTTACCGGTGGCAAGAGGGAATCTTTCGGATGTCCGTCAGGAGGAAGCACAACTTATTGGCCGTGCATAGCCAACTTTGTGAAAATGCGCCGAACTGGGCCTGCGTGGCAGAACTTGCCCACAAGCGTCCAGCATGAAAATGTGTTAATCTTCCGTTGTTGATGCTTATCGATCCGATAATGTCTTCATCTGGTCACCTACTCGCGGCTAAGGCTGGAGAGCTACCGAGCCCCGCGGGAAGTCACAGCTCGCTTCTAAGCCATGGACAGGCTTTAGATTGTTTGTATTCAACAATTCCGGGCAACTGCAAGGACCCATTCCAACATGGCGATCCTTTCTGCCCGAGCTTTGCAGAGGCACGTTTCTTTGCCTTTCTCTCGTGTGGAACCTGTTCAGATCTGGTGCAGAGGCCGGCGGCGTTTTGGGGCCGTCACTAGGCAGAGATCCCGGCTAGAGCCGTAAACGATGCTTGGCGATGCTTTCACCAAAGATGTCAAGGTGCCGATTTGGGCGGCCAGCGCTTGTCGTACAAGCCGGTGCGGCTCTGTCGGAAGTGTCGGGAGCAGTTTCGAATGAATCGTTTGTACTTCGCGACGCGAGGTCGGCGGCTTTGACAAAGATCTGCCCAGCGACACGGATGATGATGAGCAGCCTGAGCTCCAAGTGCCGCCACCAGGCTGGCCCTTAAGGGCGATGCAAGCTGGAAACGTGCTGGAAGCGTGAAGCAGCCCCAGCAGGCAAAGACCTGCAAAGCAAGGCCATCTCCAGCTTGGCCAGTGGCCAAGACATGTAGGAGGTGCTGCTGAAGACCTTAGGTTTCGGGTCGATGGCTTACAGTTATGAACTTCCGAAGATCCAAGCACGAACAATCCTGCTGAAGGCAGCCAGGTTGCTGAAGCAAACAGGTTTCAGATTTGTTTCGGCGGAAAAGTCTCACACGCACTCACCAACTGACCATCAACCATGAGCGCCTTTAGTGAACAATCACATCTGGGCAGGGTTCTCTTTGATATCCCTTGCTCTTGTGCTCGTACCAGGATGGAGAACCAAATTATGCTTCTCAGTGAACTCTGCAAACATGGGGGTCCCGAAGGCATACATGATTTTACATGATGGCTCAGGATGGACAGGCTGTGAGCGAGATGTGGCACAAAGCCGGCATATCGGAGGACTGCAGGTATCTTTGTCAGCGGCTTGAAGTGGCAGGGCGTGTTTGTTCAGGACAAGCTGCGGAAGCTTTGTTACACAAACGGCCGTGCAGCTTCAGCCTCAGGAAGTTTGAGGTTTTCTGTCGACATGTGTGGCAATTCAGCCAAACACAATACTTGTAGTTGCTTTGTGGTCGCATCGGGTCGACAGCCCACCAGCCGACCGAGGGCCTGCCAAACAAAATCCCGGCCCCATCAACTCGTCGGCATAGCTAGCTAGCTTGCCTTCTGGCCACCGTGTGCAAGTCTGCAGCGCTGTGATGTAGCCTCCAGCAGACTTATACAATTGGCGTAAAAAGGCACCCAATGAACTTTGAAAGGCGTCCTGACTACTAGGATCTACTAGGCGTCAATCACGGGCTGGCCCGGTTCCACATCCGGGGCAGACTGTAATTGCCAAGTAACTCAAACTGCCCCCGAAGCGTGAACGATCTAGTGTTTCCACAAGGCAAGGGTTGCGCACGCAATCCATTTGGGTGACAATCGCGGACGGCAGCGGTTATGTCATGTCGGTTGTGTCATGCTGGCACTGTTTGGTTGTTCTTGCTGAGTTGTTGTGTCTCGCACGTGTGCGTGTAGGATCGTATAGGAGCAAGTTCAAGCGGTCGACTGCCGTAGAACTTGGCTCGACCACCATTTTCGATTTCCCCGGTCCCATGACCGCGGATGGCCGACGTGGCCTTGGAGGTCCACAGGGCGGGCGCTGCGCCTGGGAGCAGGGCGAAAATGCCCAGGACGAGACTGTGCCATACTTTGCCGCCCGGCCGAGGCTGTCATAGATGCAAGGGCCGCGGCCGAGATATGGCAGTTTGGAATGGAACCTGGAAAGAGCCTAAATGATGCGGAGCATGGTACGTGTGGGAAGGTGCCGAGAACGACACGACCTGGAACCGCGACCACGTCCGAACTGGCGAATGGGCGAGCGAATTCAGGATGAGGAAGCACCAGAGCGGGAAAAAGAGCCAAGGCGGAGCGCTGGCAGGCCAGACCAGAAGGGCAACCCTTTTTATGCGACTTTACTGACTACGCGCTTCTGGAACAACGCAGCCGCAAAACGCAGCACCACTAGGCCAAAACGCCAACAGCACCCCTAACAGCGGCCCGAACCCGAGACAAGAACCCGAGCAACGAGGCATTATCCCGAGCACGAAACGGCTGCATCGGCCACCCAAGTCTGCGCGTGAGCACCTCATGGCCCGGCACACGCGGCCTGTCCTCAACGAAGTGTGGACACCTCCAAACAGGATGCTTCCACGACGCACGACGGCACTACTCTTGCATGACAGAAGTTGCAAACCCTGGGCACAGGCAGACCCTGCATGCGAGCGTACTCTGCAGTGGAATGAGCCGCTCCAACGAGCACACCCATCCCTTCAGCGCCGGCCTTGCGCCACAGCATACGCACAGCTGCAACTTGCTTCTCATCGTATCGAGCCGCAGCTCTCAGACCGGCAGCATCATGCCTCTTAGGATTCTGCAAGAAGCGGTCGTAACACCATGTAACACCTCCGGCGCCACGCTTCCCTGATCAAGTGAGTGGACTGCTGAAGCCACCCTTTGAACTGTTTGGCGCCCGCCGGGGGAGGCCAACAGAACTGGCCGCCGGCATGCACGAAAGCTTGGCCCCACCTAACGAACCCTAAGCCCTGAAGAGAACCGAACAGGCAAGCACTCCGTCCTCCACCAGAATGCAAAGAGCCATGTCTCCTCCAGTAGCTGATACCTTGCGACAGCGCACCGAAGCTAGCTAACACTGCATAAAAATGCGGATCCGTCCACCGTCCTGACAGCCTTTGCCAAAGATGCCTGGAAGCATGCGCGCCAACAGCTCTCTTAAGCTGGGTCGTGAATGTCTCAGACTCCGGAAAAGAATCAAACCAAACACCTCTAACATGCCAAGGCCACGACTCGTGGAGGCAAGCAACTCGGCCTATGATGCTCCGGCCTTGCACCCGGCGCTTAGCAGTGGTGCCACCTAGACCACCTTCCTGACGGAAATCAACCCCAAGAACCCTGGCTTCTGCATGCACCAGTTCATGGTTGATCTCAGCAGCACGCAGTGCTTCAGCCCGGGCGGGCTCGCGTGGTACGATCCTTGCTTTGACCTGGTTCTTTCGGGCCGTCTATGCACCAGGAAGCCCAGTGGGCCAGCGTGCGAATGACATCTTGAGGCGAGAATACAATGACATTAGTCATTACGGTCATCAACAAACAAGGCTTGGCAGGAATCACCTTGTAGAGATTCCCTCAGCTCGTCAACTCCTTGCTGCAAGAGAATCGCGAAGGCAGCCGGAGCACAAGGATCCCGTTGCGGAACGGACGTGGAAACGTCCTCAGGTCGACTGAGCGCCTCACCGTTCCAAGTAAGCCACCTTGACTGAGCGCCCCAGACATGAATCAGGTACTGCGCCCACTGAGCTGCCAAGCCCTGACGAGTCATCAGACCGATCGCAAGCTCAGGAAGAGCCCGATCAAACCCCTGACTAAGCTCAAGCAAGCGACACAAGAGTGGCGCCCGGCTTGGCAAATGCAGTGGCCAGGGCGGCCAAGGCCGTATGCACTCAAGAGCAACCCGAAAGGCGAAAAGAAAGGAGGCAACGAGGCAAGGAAAGGTCGCTCAGAAGGCGCCCTTTGACGAAGGGGCCCTTTGACATTGGCGAGCTCGGGAAGGTGATGACGAGATCAAAGCGGTTCTGAGCCGCAAGACTGCCATGAAGCCCTTGCGAAAGGTTTGTTGTGCCCTTGAAGACTGGGTTCAGCCGCTACTGCTCAAGGGGTCACGTTCATTGGGTCGGGGTTCATCGTGACCGCGATGGGCTCGTACCGGAGACGGACCTTCTGGCCTCCTGGGATGGCAGGTGCCGACTTGTAAAATCTGGCTACGACCGAGGCATGTTTGTTGCAGTCGCAGATGAAGACGTGCCACCGGACATGCGAAGGCACCTGATCACGGATCGGGCCCGAGCAGTGCATGGCAAAGGGAAACTTAGGCGGTGGCCGGCACGACGAGAGGCCCAAAGATTCATGTATAGGTGCTGTGACCCCTGAACGAGGCAATGCGCCTGCTTCCTGGATCCCAGGAGTCTGCCACTTCAGCAGGAGACGCTTTGGGGATGTCACATATGTCACCGAATATGACAGTCCGGCCGGCAGGTCCTTCGAGTTGTCCCCATGGGCTGGACGTCCACTGTCACTTCGATCCGACACATCTCCTACGAGATTGCAAGACTTCTTTTTCATGGGGATTCCTCTAGCGCGCCAATTTCGATGAGGTGAAGTACTTGACAGGAGGCCGGCCTCGCCTCTGCGCGAGTGTGAGCGCGTGCGAGATTCTAGGCCTTCCCAGGATCCCTGGCAAACAACTCAGCGGAGCCTAGGATGGGAGCTCCTTGGCAATGAGAAGGTGCTTCGGCCCTCTTACGAGAAGACGACTCGAACTCAGCCTGGGCATCCTGAGGCAGGACTTGATGATTGAGTTCTGCCTCAGGCGTTGGACGGGAAAGGCAGCATTCGCTGCCGCCTCCTGCAGGCCACGGGGCAATGGGGGGTTACAGATTGGGCCGCGGGAGGAGTTCAAGCCAACCGCCCAATCGACGAGATCTTGGTGTTTGCGACCGTGCTTCCCCTGGCCGAAACCGACTTGTCGTCGGCCGTCAGCGGCACCCTTGCGTCGTCCGCCGGCGGGGAGCCTGGATTGCAACACCTTGTGTTCATGGAGGGTGTCCGGCATTAGGTTTGCGCGATCTACTTGAGCCATTCTACCAGTGACACTACACTAGCTGGAAGGAGCGACACGAGGTTTGCAGGACACAGCGTGGTCAACTGGGCGGTCACGCAGACGGTGAAGCTCCTGGAGTTTATGGATACGAACCAAAAGGCCCAACACCTGCGATGCCTGCTGGGCAAGTCCCACACTGGATGTGACGTGAGGCTCACAGAAAGGGGTGGTGGGCTACTGTCCGGTTCCATACCCGGGGTGGCTTTGGAAAGACGTTTTGTCTAATACAAATCAACATCCTGGAGCTCATCGCCTTCCTGACCGAACTCAGGCGCCGTGCGAGGCATGCGGCAGAGCACAGGCTTTTCTGCGGCGTGGTTGATTCTTTGGTGACCTTCTACGTTTTGGGAAAGGGAGATTCCTAGCGCCTCAATCGAGTTTGCCGTCGCATCACAGCTGTTGCTGTCGCCTCCTGCATTATCCCCACGACCTTTCTGGTCAATCAGCAAATGGAAATTTTCCGATGGCACCTCACGGAAATTTTGAGTCGGCGCGGTCACCTGAGGTTCTTCGGGGAGGGCGTATTTGTTCACTCCCTTTTTTTGTTTCCTATGGCTCCCTATCCCCCTGGTCCCCTGGTCCTTTGGTCTTCTCCCTGCTCCGGTCCTCTCTCTTCTGGTCTCCAGGTCAGCCCCGCCCCGGGTCTTCCGTCTGGCCCGCTCAGTTCTTCTTGCCAGTTGGTCCCCTGCTTTGGTCCCTCCCCTGTCATCCTCTCATTCTGCGGCTGCCCTGGTCCACTGGTCCCCTGGTCCCCTGGCCTCGCCAATTACCAATTCCCTTCGGCCGAAAGGAAGGAAGGAATAAAGA